TAAATTGCCACATCATTATGAGTTTTAAAATACTGATGTATTAATGTGTCTCTTTTACAATCATTGATTATTATGTAGAGATCTCCATTTCCTGCCTGCAAGGGCGAGGATTTCAACCAAGCACTTGAAGTGGAATGTAATGTTTCTCAAGTCAGTTTGGTAGAATCTTAGCCAACGGAATAAACCTATTGCATTTTAAGCAAGAAGTTAACAATGCAAGGAAATTGTATTAATGTGGAATTTTATGTTGTGGTGCAAGCATTGTAGCTTACAATTTTGTCCTTAAGCATGAGGATAGTTCACAAAACCATGTTGCAAATGCATTGAGTTGTAGAATGATTTAATACTTTATGGTTGAGGTAATTGAATCTGATGCTATTAAAGGTGTTTATTCACAGAATCGTTTTCAAACTCGTTGTGAATCAAATATGGGGAAGATAGAAAAGATGTGTACCATATACATCAGGAAGGGGTATAATCCATCTTAGGCAAGATAAAGTTGTTCTCTTCTTGGAAGACAAATGTTATAGGCCTAGTATATGAAGGGATGTTGGACAGACGAGCAATAGGTGTTACACTCATCACCAGTCACAAGATAGTGACTTCCCAATTGCAACTGTTAATTGTGATCATGTGAGTATTGTTTTTGGGCTACTTTTACCTAGGCATAGCACCTAGCACAATTCAATTATGCTGGTGGTTGATCAGTTTCTTAAGATAACCCATTTTATTCTATGTACTCGAACTGCCATGTATTATTGGCGGTCGAGATACTGTAGGAAGTAGGGGTGTAAAATAGCCGACCAACCGATTGGGTTTTTATCAGTTTTGGTTCGGTATCCTGCTTTTGTATTTTGGAGACAGAGTGAATCAAAACCCTTTTCTTCTTGCCTCCGTCCTGGGCGGCCCTTGCCGGTGTTGCCTCCGTGTTTCCCACTCCACTGGGCATTATCACTACTCCCTGCTCCTCCACTGCAGCATATGGCGGACCTCCAAATCGGAATATCACGGTGGCCTTCCGCTTCAGCTCCTTATTTTCCGCCTTTAGCACACTTATCTCTGTTCGCGCATCCTTATACATGCGTTGGAGCAGAGCCAGTTGGGCGTTTAAATGCTGCACCTCATTTGTCCTACTCTGCAGCCGGTTCGACAAATTTGTAACCGCAGTCATGGTTTCCACACATGACTTCAATGTATACTGATTGGCTTCAATGTCAGTTTGCACTGCCATTTTTTGCTCCACAGACCGCATAGGAAAGTTCAACGGAGCAAACCCTGGGGCGCTTGGTTGAGGTTCACTGGCCCCCGCACCAGTTATCTCTCTTGTTGACTCGTTAAGGTCTGGAAAGAGAGTGAGCAGACCACGGGAAGACGAAGCCATTTTCTGGAAAACAGAGTGTTACAGAGTATCTCTCTCAGAAATCTCTCTCAGACAACAGAGTGTTACAGAGTATCTCTCTCAGAAATCTCTCTCAGACAACAGAGTGTTACAGAGTATCTCTCTCAGAAATCTCTCTCAGACAACAGAGTGTTACAGAGTATCTCTCTCAGAAATCTCTCTCAGACAACAGAGTGTTACAGAGTATCTCTCTCAGAAATCTCTCTCAGACAACAGAGTGTTACAGAGTATCTCTCTCAGAACACGAAGAGTTTTTCAGAGGTTTTTAGCAGTTTTTTTTTTGCCTCAGCCTCAGCCTCAGCCTCAGCCTCCGTCTTGGTTAAATAGCCAAGGCAGACACGCGTATCGTGCGCCGCTCGGTGCTAGCCGACAACATAGGCGCGCAAGCCAAGGTAGTCACGCGCATCGCCATAATGTCCGGCACACCTTTTTATGGATTGGGCACGCCTTTTGATGGCACGCCTTTTGAAAGATTGGGCACACCTTTTGAGGGTGCGACTTTTTAGGGGTCCGACAAGACTCTGTAAACTGTCCCGACATTGATTCCGGTTAGTTTCTACAAGGGTCCAGCAAGACTCCGTAAACTGTCACAACATTGTCTGCTACAACGGTCCGACATGACCCCATAAACTGTCTTCTACATTGGTCTGCCATAACCATACAGTCTTCTACAACGGTCTGACACGACCATACAGTGTCTCCTATCCATTTTTTATTTTATTTGTCAGATTTTTTTCCTGTTTTGTTACTCTCTCCAAGTTGGTTAGTGCCTATCCTCCTTGAGTTTGAGGGGGGCTGTTAGTATATATTAATATATATATTAGCTGTCAAACCTTTAATAATATACCTTTAATGATGTTGTTTGGTTTGTGTTTCTACTTTCGGTTTGTAATTGTTCTCCCTCTCCTCTATAAAGGAGAGAGCTCAACACAATCAATAATACATCAATAGATACATTATTCTCTCTGTATTTCTCTCTTTTACATTGAATTTAACAGCTCAAACCCTATTGCAGCCATGTTCGGATCCATTTACATGGTGGACAACCCGCTCACTGTCACTCCTGCTTTGAACTCAACCGTGATGGGCCGTGCTCAAGGGATTTATGGTATGTCATCTCAACACGATGAGCTTAGCCTTCTGATGACGCTTACGTACAACTTCATTACCAGTCCCTACAATGGAAGCTCATTCAGTGTTGTTGGTCGGAATCCAATCGCAAATGAGGTTAGGGAAATGCCGGTCATCGGAGGCACGGGGATGTTTAGGCTAGCTCGCGGATACTGCTTAGCCAAGACATATTCGACAAACCAAATGGATGCAATTATCGGATACAATGTTACCTTGTTACACTATTAAAACCAGAGCCACTTGATTTTTATATATACTAGCGAGCGATGTGCTTGTAATTTTACATGTAAAATTTTAGACGATTTGATGAATAATAAAGATGAGTTGAATTTGTAACCATTTTATGGGTATCATTGGAAAATAAAGAAGCGTGACAAAATTTATGTTGACTTTATTGATTAGAATAGGTAGTTGATATATTCTAAATAGTTTATATTGGGTACCCCAGAAAAAATCTTGAAAATTATCTCAAAAATAAAATATGTGAATAATTTGAGTATGACCACCACAAAATTTGAATCTATGGCATATATTTCAATTTTGAGGTAATTTTCGAGATATTTTTCAGGTACATGGATTTTCGATTGTTTTTGAATAATTATTATTATATATTATTATGAAATATGAATAAATTTGAAATTTATTTTGCAATAAAGTTTTAAACATTAATATGTTGCAATAAAGTTTTAAGCAAGGAAGGAAAAAATGAAATTGCATGCATGTATATGGTTAGTAGACACTCACCACTAATGTTCTCGAGTTAGTTGATCTCGTTTTACACTCTGTGCATGTAAATTTGCTTATCGGAAATTTGGAAGGCCATTTTTTAATAATTTGAAATCTTGAATCCTTTCTCCATTGACTTTCTATGCCCACCTCGTTTTACAAGAGTTGGAACATGGCCTCAAAAGTTCAAAAGAAAATAATTATGACACTTCATAAATATCCCCAAAGCATGAGTTTATCTAGAATTTGTTTTAGTTGCCTTGATTGGCATGGAATTTCGTTTGAGTTCTGCCATTTCTCTTTTTTACCTATAAAATAATTTTACTGTTATTATAATTAACATATATTTTTATCTTTTTACAGTGTATCTTTCCTTACCTTGCATGGCTTTCCTTTTTGGGTAGATTTATATTTTTATTTACATTTTAAGCATACTTTCATGTGTGAGCACACATACATAGGGTGGGTTGTTTCCTAGGTATTGCTCGGTGTAGGTCACATTGGAAGCGACTCATCATGGACCTGAAATTAATTCACCTACAATGTTTGTAGAAATCGGTATACTTCTCTTCACAAATCCTGCCAGTTTTATTAATAATACAATTTGCAATTTTTTGAAGATAAGATTATGTTTTACAGTTTTTTTTGTTTTCCGCCCCATTGTTTTTAAAGCAATAGACAGGTCAAACCTGAAATTATCTTTGTTAATCTTAATTTCCAGTCAGATATTTTTATGATTTAATTCATTGCAAATTGCTTCCTTCTGTTTCTTCTAGGCAGTACGGAAGAGTACTGGAAGAGGCAGGATGCTGCCCAAGCCATTGGTTTAGTTGAGTATCTTTTTCTTTCTTTCTTTCTTTCTTATAGATGTCTATATATATACATGTGTATGTTCCCTGATTAGCTGGAGTGGATATAAGTTTGTGACCGTGGATCAATTCTCAATGACTGTCTTCTTGTATTGTGCCATTTCTTTCCATGTAATTTTTTGTCTTTTTGTATAGATAATATGAAAAGCTTATGTTAGTTTACTGACTTTGGAGATCAAAATCTTCTTGTTAATCATAATAGGAAACTTTGAATTTGTGACCGAATGAGTTGTTTTTGAATTTGTCATTTGGGTTACTCTTAATGCATTTGCTATCCTCTTTAATTATAGGAAACTTTTAGATACTTTGTCAATGTAGGACCTATCATCATAATCATTGCAATTTCATTTGGTTGGGTTTGGTTGAAAAATTCTTGACATTTCTCATTTTGATTTCCTCCTGCTGTCTTTGCTTTGCACAGGTGCTTCCATACAGTCCTTTCTTTTCCATCCTCTTTCATTGTAGGAAAGTTTTAGATAATTTGTTTGAGTAGGATCTATCATCATATTCACTGCATTTCATTTGGTTGGGTTAAATTTGAAAATTTCTTTCCCCCACCAAATACAAAAAAGAGAAAAATCATGATGTAAAATGGCGTGCTAAGCTTTCAAGACCTTTCCCACAAACTATTAATCCCAGTTTTAATGCAAATATTCTTTCGAACTTTATACCATCTTCACCATAGCATGTTTAGCTTTTTCTACTCCCTACTACAAATCCTTTAACAAGTTTGCATGAATTATACATTTCCCCCCTCAAGGTTGGGATGGGTTATAGGACTATATAAGTTTTTTCTTTGATATATTTTTCTTCCATAGTGTTTTATTTATTTTATTTTAATTAATATTTAACGAAGTTTCTGCTGTGGCGATTGAAGTTAGTGTGGGAAGGTTTAGGGCTTGGTGGAGGAGCTGCAGTAGGAGACTGGAGCCGGTATGATCAACATAATGCAGTTTGCTTGTCAAACTCATTTTTGATCTTTTCTATAGCTGTAGTACACATGTTCTAAAAACAGAGTAAACTTTTTCCATGTTACATGTATAAATAGAAACACAATATGATAGAAGAATCTGTTCCCAAAATGTATTTCTTTTACTTGGAATTATACTCAAATTCAATAATGCAGGAATAATGGTCAAAGCGAAATCCTCTTGGGAATTAGTGGTGGACATTATGCACCATGGCATATGGATATCGTTTTGTAAGTTACTATACATTTGCCAACTTCCAAGTATTCCATTAGTTTGTTTATCTAATATGCTAAATGGTTTAAAGGGGCATCAATGGAACAGATTCCTTAGATCAGGTTAATGTTTTGACTGGAAACAGTGAAATATTTTAATACATCAAACTTGTCATGATAAAATAGATCTATCCTTTTAAGCCATGCCCATTTAGATCAGCTGAATGTGAAAAGAAGCCAAGATTAAAAGATTCTAATAACTCAGAACTCTGCTTCTAGGGGTTTGTCCTCACCCTAATTCCTACATTTATATCCGTTTAGATTTGTTTTTGTTTCAATTGGTGTTATTTCCTAACAGAAAACTCATGTTTCAGTTGATGACCTCATTAACAAGCCAACTGAAGTTCCTTACTAAAAAAATAAATAAAAAAGAACTCACACAAAAAAAAGCAAGAAAATTCTGTTGGCACCATTGCCAGTTTCAAATTCTGATGAAAATCCTGTTTGCATCAGTGTTTTTTTCACCTGAAGTCAATGTTCAATATTTTCAATTTTCTCTTTGAAATTGTTGCTATCACTACAAACTATACATTTTGCTTAAACTGTATCTGCATTGATTTCATTATACGTGAATACTAGCCTGGTCCTGTTTGGGGGTTCATAAATACCTTCAAATTGCAATTAATAAAATTAACATTCAAAATATTTTATTCTCAAATTTTGATGCCTAAATTGAGGTTGTAAAGGTTCTTGTTATTAAAAAGTTCCATTTTTTTTTTTAAATTCAGGAAAGGTGGTGTTTGGGTGGGCCATCTGCTTTCTGGGTATTCATTGCCAATGGAAGATCTGGGTCAATCTAAACAGACAAATGTGGAGGGTGTTGGTGGAACTTGGAGAGAAGCAATCAAACTTTCCTGTGAGACTACGAAGGCAGCTTTTCCAGGGGGTGAAGTTATGGCACATCTTGATCACAAGTTAGTGATTCCCACCAAGGAATTGTTTTTTATATTAATACATAAACATAAAACGAAGTTTACCTTAATGCTGTGTTTGATTGCTAAGATTTCGTAAGAGCACAAAACCTGGAATTTCTACAAGAGCGACCCCAACCCAAGCTCTCATTTTTCATTTATTCTCTCACAAAATCTTATCAATTGAACAGTATAAATGCAAATTAGCAATCAGTGAATGAATCGATTATGAGATCATTCATAAGGTGATTAATCAAGTTAGATATTTGCCAAGTACATTGGAAGTTCACATAATCCCCTTGATGCAAAGAAAGCCCTGCTATCATACTTTAAATGCTCATCTTGTGTAAAAAGAAAAACTACTATAAACTTGAAATTGTGGGGATGCTAATTTTGCCCAGCACCATAAAATGGTTAGTTTCGACATATGCATTATTTGTTAGAGATGTCACACAAATCAAAATGGGTCTCCCTTATAGAACTGAAGTCACTACTATGAAGAGAGCACATTTGACTACCTACAACACCTTAGAAGCTTGAAGTGATGGGAGATTTTCTTCGGCACGCATTAAGTGTTGTGGAAGAGCTTCATCAGCATGAAGGTGGTTTTGAATTAGGATAGAACCAAGTTACTACAAACACACAAAGACCATAAAACCTAAGTTTCTCAGCTTGTTTGACCATGTTGTGTGGTATGGATGACCATAGAGAGGACCACAGCATAGGATTAGTCTGTCTTACCATATGGTCCACTATGCTCATAAATGTGGTAGACTACAGTGATCATAATTTGGTTGACCATCTGGATGGATGTGAACAACTACTACAAGTGAGTATGGTTGACCATACCTTGGAAATTTTTAGAAAAAAATGGCCATTGAAGTCTTGACATAAATACCTGAACACTCCCATTTGGGGTCTTTTGATGAGAGGAAGGCACCTAGAGACCCTTATACATCACTTATACACCAACATACGCATTTTGAGTGTAAATCTAACATATACATATCAAAGAGTGTGTAGCTTTCATTCATAAAGTAAGTGCTTTCAAGAGCCTATCCCTAGGGAGCTTTTCAAGATATCCGCTTGTGAAAGGTATAATCCTTGTCCCTGAAGTATAGACTTTACACTATTGTGCATCTCACACCACACTAGTCTTACATGGAGTCATTTGGGGTTTAAGGGTTAAGGTTATCAGGTCCCCTTCCTGAAATCCATTTTCTAGATTTTGTAAGTCTAGCAAAGCTTTTTAAGTTTGTGATTTTGAGTGAGCCTAAACCCATTATATGATTGTGGAAGAGGTACCTAGTTAAAAACAAGTTAGTCATTCCCACCAAAGAATTGTTTTTTATTTTAATACATAGACATAAAACCAAGTTTACCATAATGCTGTGTTTGATTGCTAAGATTTTGTAAGAGCATAAAACCTGGAATTTCTACAAGAGCGACCCCAACCCAAGCTCTCATTGTTCATTTCTTCTCTCACAAAATCTTATCAATCGAGCAGTATAAATGCAAATTAGCAATCAGTGGATGAATCAATTATGAGATTATTCATAAGGTGATTAAACAAGTTAGGTATTTGCCAAGTACATTGGAAGTTGATGTAAAGATAGCCCTGCAATCATACTTTCAATGCTCATCTTGTGGAAAAAGAAAAACTACTATAAACTTGAAATTGTGGGGATGCTAATTTTGCCCGGCACCATAAAATGCTTAGTTTCGACATCTGCATTATTTGTTAGAGACGTCACACAAATCAAAATAGGTCTCTCTTATAGAACTGAAGTCACTACTATGAAGAGAGCACATTTGGCTACCTACAACACCTTAGAAGCTTGAAGTGATGGGAGATTTTCTTCGGCATGCATTAAGTGTTGTGGAAGAGCTTCATCGGCATGAAGAAGGTTTTGAATTAGGATAGAACCAAGTTACTACAAACAAACAAAGACCATAAAAACCTAAGTTTCTCAGCTTGTTTGTCCATGTTGTGTAGCATGGATGACCATAGAGAGGACCACAGAGTAGGATTATCTGTCTCATCGTATGGTCGACTATGCTCATAAATGTGGTAGACTACAGTGATCATAATTTGGTTGACCATCTTGATGGATGTGAACAACTGCTATGAGTCAGTATCGTTGTCCATAACTTGGAAATTTTTAGAAAAAAATAGCGGGAGACGTCTTGACATAAATACCCGAACACTCCCATTTGGGGTCTTTTGATGAGAGGAAGGCACCTAGAGACCCTTATACATCTCTTATACACCAACATATGCATTTTGAGTGTAAATCTAACATATGAAAGATCAAAGAGTGTGTAGCTTTCATTCATAAAGTAAGTGCTTTCAAGAGCCTACCCCTAGGGAATCTTTCAAGATATCCACTTGTGAAAGGTATAATCCTTGTCCCTTAAGTATAGACTTTACACTATTGTTCATCTCACACCACACTAGTCTTACGTGGAGTCATTTTGGGCTTAAGGGTTAAGGTTATCAGGCCCCCTTCCTGAAATCCATTTTCCAGATTTTGTAAGTCTAGCAAAGCATTTTAAGTTTGTGATTTTGAGTGAGCCTAAACCCATTATATGATTGTGGAAGAGGTACCTAGTTAAAATCCTTGAAGGAGTGATTGTAAAGGTTTTGGGTTACCCTAGTGAAAATCGGTTTGATTAAAGTGGATTAATGCTGGTAGGGATGTCAGGAGTTGATATAGGCAAGTCACCAAACCACTATAAAAATCTTGATGTTCATCTTTCTATACTTTGCATTTTTATGATCTTGAGATAAATGTGATTCATGTGTGACAAATTAAATATTTACAATTTATGAAGGATATTTCACCAAATATACCTTTACAAGGAAAGTACACTTGTACGATCTAGTACAAACTTGAAAATTGAGTACACTTCTTTTAAATTGAAAAATTGGTTATATAAGTCATACTTGAGCCTTAAATGGTCAAGAAATTTATTTTAAAACCTTTTTAAATTGAAAAATTAGTTGTACAAGTCATATTTGAGCCTTGAATGGTGAAGAAATTGAATTTTAAACATTGTTCTTGACTTTGGCTTAGGGGAGTGATTAAACTTGGAAATTAAAAAGTCTTACCCCACCAACCACTTGAAGTTATACAAAGTAATTAAAATATCAAATTGGCTTGATTACACAGATTTGTCTAATGTGTAATGTGAAGAATGCGTGTCTAATCATACTTTATTGAGCCTAGTATTTTACCGTAATTTAGTCTATAATCTTGCATGGTGGAATGATTTTTATTTTTTACTTTTTATGAGCATAATTGGCAGGGACTTTGTTCATTTGTTTTACCGGTAATCTAACTAAGGTCGTCAATTATTTACCGATGGATGCAGGAGTTTCAAAAGTTGGCAAAGAAATGCCATTACAGGCTTTTTAGCTGAGCAGGACATTAAAATTGGCAAACCGAGCGACTTCTGCTGAATTTCCCGGGTGATGATAGATTAATTGATTTATTTTTATTTGTTATCCTAGTTTTCTTTTACTGCCAATCCCATACCATGTTCTTAAAACTACTATTCTTTGAATTTATGATCATTTCCATTCTAAAATTGTAAATAATAATTGCCTAATCCTATAAAAATGTCGGTGGCTGCATATTTTTGACATATTTTCTTCTTCACATATGAAAGTTCCGCATGTAGTTTGCTGATGTATTTTATCACATTTTTGAGATTTGAGTAGGTGAACTAATACCCAACTGATTGAGGAAGATGGTTGCTGTTTGGCAAAATGCGATTTATTTAATAACAAAAGTTCATGAAATTTATTAGTTTTTATAACATTGATTTTTTAGGGTAAATTACACTTGAGATTTGGAAAAAATACAAGCCTCATAATAAGTTTGGCATAAGTATGTGGATTTCCTTTTTAGTAAAGGTAAAGCAAACTAGATTAATGCATGTGGTGTGTGGACACGTGGAAGATCATTAAAATAAAATATATATTTCAATATAAATAGGACAATATTATTTTCATTCATATGATTTACAGATAGTTGATGGTAAGGAAACAAAGTGATATGCCAATTTAAATCTCAAGGGAGTACAATGTAATTAAGCTAAATTTGTAGAATTTGTTGTCTTTTTTTTTCAAAAGCACGAGGGAAGTTAGTGTAATTTATCTTACTCTTTTTTTTTCTTTTTTCTTTTTTATATTTTAAATATAGGGTTGTGCTAACAATATCACACGGTGGAGGAAATGCTAAAATATATACTATTTTATTGCATTTTTAACATGTTTTTAAATATTTCTATGAGCAAATTTATATACTCTTATATAATTTTTACAGGGTGGTCATTAACATTTTCCTTTTTATATATATATATATATATATATTATTTTTTATTTCAATAAATTACCCTACTATTTCTTGAGATTTGAAAAAATTATATTGTGCATTACAAGTTTGATAATAGTTTGCCAATCACATATCCAACTTCCAAATATCTAAAAATAAAAATGGCGAATTACACACACCACCTCTGATGTGTAAACCATATATATAATAAACTTTGTACATAATTATACTGACCTTTCTTAGCCCTCATTTGGGAAGAAAAAGTTTGGGACTTTTTGGCTAAAATAGTTAAAAAAATAAAATAGATTGAAAAGTTAAAAAGACAAAATATTATATCTAAAACATAATTATTATATTTTTTTTTTCTCATAAAAGTCAAAAAAGTTAAAAAATTTATCCTAAATAAAACTTTTTAATCACAAGTTAAAATAATTAAAAAATTAAAAAGGCAATTTACATCCCAAACAAACCATTAATAAGGTTAAAGCAAGTAGGAAGATCTCTCTCTCAAGCAGTTGTGGTAGAAATATAGAAGATTAGAGCACATATATAAGACAAAACAAAAGTGGGCATCTGCCCAAATAGAATCCACATGTGAAACTCATATTTTATTTCAATGTGTGTTTTATTATGAAAATCATTTGAACAACTTTGGGGCGGAGCTAAAGGAGGCCCAGGAGGTCATGCGCCCTCCCTCAATTTTGATTTTTTTTTTGTTTTTGTTTTTGTTTTGTGGTCATATATAAAATATATTTATTTTTTTCTTAACATTTTTTTTGACTAAGGATTTATTGTATTATTTACAATAAGTAGTTATTTGATACTTTGGGAGCATTATGTGGTATCACACTATGTAGTAGTGTAAACCAATAGTGTAGTGGGAAATCTTATGGACTGAATATAATTAACTCATTATTTTCAGGTAATTGACAAACTACTTAGTGTAATTTGTGATTTGTCATGCTTTGAGCATCACATAGGCAGGTACTCTAAGATTATGCAATAATTTCCATTCAAAACACATAATTTATAAGCAATATCATTTCTTTAATATTTTCTATCAAATAAAAATTAAATAGATTTGATAATAATTTGTGCTATAAATGATGTATTTTTATTTTCTAAAATTAAGAATTTTGATTCATAATTTTTTATGCTAAAATTACAAACTTACATCACCATCCCGCACCGAGGTATTACACACTATTATAGTATTTTGTTTTGTTCCTATTAATAATGATTTTTAATTTCTTATATTTAAATTTAGCTCCTAAAATTATTATTATCTTAATGTTGATGATGATTTTTTTTTTAAATAAAAAATTATAATTAATAAGTGCCCACTTCCAAAGCCATGCCATGCACATGACTTATACATGCATGACACGGTGGGTGGTCCGAACCCTTCTGCAGTTAGGGTAGCCGGCTGGTCCAACTTTACTGGCTCAAACCCTATTGCTGCCATGTTCAGTTCCATCTACATGATGGACAATCCGCTCATTGTCACTCCTACTCTAAACTCAACCGTGATGGGCCGCGCTCAGGGGATTTATGGTATGTCATCTCAGCACGATGAGCTTAGCCTTCTGATGACGCTTACGTACAACTTCATTATCGGTTCCTACAATGGAAACTCATTCAGTGTCATTGCTCAGAATCTGATTGCAAATGAGGTTAGGGAAATGTTGGTTGTCGGAGGCATGGGGATGTTTAGGCTAGCTCGCGGATACTGCTTAGCCAAGACATATTCGACGAACTAAATGGATGCAATTATCGGATACAATGTTACCTGGTTACACTATTAGAACCAGAGCCACTTGATTTTTATATATACCAGTGAGCGATGTGTTTGTAATTTTACATGTAAAATTTTAGACGATTTGATGAATAATAAAGATGGGTTGAATTTGTAACCGTTTTATGGGTATCATTGGAAAATAAAGAAGTGCAACAAAATTTACGTTGACTTTATAGATAAAATAGGTAGTTGATATATTCTAAATAGTTTATATTGGGTACCCAGAAAAAATATTGAAAATTATCTCAAAAATAAAATATGTGAATAATTTGAGTATGACCACCACAAAATTTGAATCTATGGCATATACTTCAATTTTGAGGGAATTTTAGAGATATTTTTCAGGTACATAGATTTTCGATTGTTTTTGAATAATTATTATTATTATGAAATATGAATAAATTTGAATTTTTGTTTGCAATAAAGTTTTAAACATTAATATGTTGCCATGTTTATCTCCATAAATCTCTCTCTCTCTCTCTCAACACATGAATGCATTTTTTTCAAATTCAAATTTGCCATTCCTTCTTCTAGGCTATCACTCCAACCTCTTCTTCTCTTGCCATTTAGGTGCCTCTCTCTCATATCTCTCTCTTTCTCTCTCTCTCTCTCTCTCTCTAAAACAATGTGCACACCATGGATGATAAGGGATTGGGCAACATGTTTCCTAGCATGCAGGTTTCCTTTAGGTAACCCAACACAAAGTTTCAAAGTTCTAATTTCATGCAGACTTATAATCTCTCTCTCTCTCTCTATTGTTTTTATTAACTTTGAAGAAATTTTTGGTTAAAAGTTTAACTTTGATATGGAACATTCCAATCTTTACTCTTTTTTTCATTAGTTTTTTTTTTTTGTGTGTGTGTGTGTGTGTGGAAAAATTTAGAACTTATTCGAAAAACATGTTTTAACTTTCTTTTTTTTTTGAAAGACAATCATCCCCGATCCTTGTTGTTTTTAAAATTTTATCAAATTTGAGTAGAAATATGATTGTTAGAAATTTAGTGAAGGAGTTGGCTCGTTCTTGATTTGGGAAAAGTTTTGTCTCTCCCTTGATTTAATACAAGTTTAATGAAATGATTAAAGCTCACTTTTAGCTCTTTATTCATCAAATTTGAATTTGATGAAAGAATTCTATTGAAGTTACCTTTTGTGTACTTCTTTTTATATATTTTTGGTTGCCTCAACTTAAGATTCTTTAACTTAGGCAATTGAAATGGAATAGTATGGTTGTGATAATAAAAAAAAAATTAAATATATATAATTTTTTAAAAATGTACAGTCAATTATAACAATATCTTTCATTGATGTCAATTCTATCACTTGAAATGGAACCCTATTTAAAAGATCAAAAACCCAACTCTTTTGCAATTTTAGTTTTAAAAAAATGTTTTTAATTATTTTTGGATTTTCTCAAAGTGATTCCCATTTTATTTCTTATACACTACTTGAGTTAATTAAAATGGTGTGAGGTAGATAAAGAACCAGATACATTTTGCATTTCATCAGCTCAAGCTCCTAGAGGAACCATGGTGTTTAACTCTAATGGTGACAACAAAAAAACCTTTCATGAGACGAACAAAATGGCTACGTGCGATAACAAATGCGACGGAGACAAAGAAACAGCCCCAAGTTCAACACAAAGTAACAATATCAAGTTAGAAGAGAAGGAGATTGATGAGTCGAGCTGGCCAAACTTTGCGGATGAGGATTACATTGTTTTTTGTTTCAAAGAGGATGGAGCGATTCATGTGGTGAAGGATGGGAAGCCAGAAGTGTCCGATCATGTTGATCGCATGACCCGAAGCTCAACAAGGCCTATCAATCACAAGGTTAGCGAAAATCCATTTTTTTAATCGCCTCTCCGTGTTTCAAACACTAAGGACGGGATTTAACATTGCAGTAATATTGTTCTATTATAACTTAGGTTTCAAGAATAAGACTCTGTGCATTTAATCGGCTCAAAATAAATACTTGGTATTTTTTCTTATTTTTACGTCGGGATATAAATATAATTTTAAAAAAAATAAAGATAGTGAAATAATTATATTGTGCTTATTTTTAGAAATATTAAAAATATAAGGTATTTTTGTAATTATAAAATTATAAAATACTACCTAGAGATTCATTGATCTCCCTTATAGTCAGTTTTTTTTTTTTTTCATTCACTATCTATGATGACCGACCAATTAGGATTGATGATCATTGATGCTTAACATAATTATGTTTTGCATTAATCATATATTACATTTGATTTTCTAATTGTTATACATTATGCAATATTGCAAATTCTAAAAATATTTTTTCATAGACATCCTAACCATATATGTATTTTTATTTATTTTTTGTTATATCGATGTATAGAATTTTATTACTTTTTAACTAAACTTGATTTTGAAATAGAATAAATATGCGCTTATTTTCATTTTTTTGTTTTGAAAAACAACTTAGATATGGTAGTGAGTATTCAGAGAAAGCTTACAACAGTGGCAGTAGTAGTACAAGAAGCCATGGCCATGATCATATGTTGAATGAAGAATATGGAAGATATATTTATCCTACAAATGAGTCACCTTCTATCTCCTATAACAAAAAGGTGAAAAAATGCCTCTTGATGTTGTGCCTTATTCTCAAATAAGAGTAATATACTAATAGTTATATATTCTGATTTCTAGTTCATTACACACTTTGGTATGTATGCTAAACTCAAAAAAAATACATATATATATACATGTTACAGTATTTAAAATTCTTATTCTAATTAATGGTGCAAACATATATTATTTTCTTAATTTTTTCCCACAATGCCAAATAAAATATCGTTTGTGGACCCATCACGAGAAGGGTAGAGAAAATTTTACCAAATTTGGCAAATGATTTAACATTGAAAAAATTATTAAGTCGTCCTAGAATACAATATGACATTATTTATGTAGTGTTCCCGATAAATGAGAAACGTTAAAAAAACATTAAGCGGGTTATCATATCTCTCATCTTGGCTGTCTAACAAAGGTGGGTCGCAATTGTCAAATATGTAAAATTTGTCACTATATTTATTGGTTGGGAATATTAAAAAAATGACAGTTGATATTCTAAAATTACTGAATGACTTGTATTGAGTTTCATCTTTGCATATGTTTTTCTATTTTGGTAATAAAATGCTTACTTATCAAAATAAATAGAATAAATTGAAGAGAAAAGTAATAAAACAGTTCAATTCAATCAGTATTTCAGTTGTTCAGTACAGTAAACAGTCATATGTGGTACATCCATTAGTATAACCGTAAAGGGAAAGGGAAAATGGAACATGAACTTGGAAATGGACACCACATTGCATAGGGGTGTTTGTAGAGGGGATGAGAAGAATGATATCATTGAAGAAGAAGAAGAAGAAGAAGAAGAAGAAGAAGAGGAAATCACTAAAGAAAGTAAAATGGTATTACCCACCACCACCACCACCCAATCAAGTGAATCCTCTACTGATCAATCTGATGGAAGCTCTAGTTCTTTTGCCTTCCCTGTGTAAGTTCCCAAGTATAACTTACAACCAGCTATTCTAAATCTATACATTTTTTATTATTAATTTTTGATATTTTTTTTTATAACTTTTTTGGGATTATTATTAGTTTGTGTAATCATAGTTATGAATATGGAAATTTGAATTAAATATGCAGATTGTGCAGTGAAGGGATGGGAAGCCCTGTCCGAATGCCAAAACCAGACTCACTCCACTTTAGGAAGCACCACAAGGCCCTGGCTGCTCGTCTTCACTGTTGTCGTTTTTGAAACTTCGCTTTTCTTTCTTTCTTTCTTTTTTCGTCCCCCTCTCTCTATCTCTCTCGGTATTTTTCTTCAAATAATTCTAGGTAAGATAAAAACTTGGTATTTTTCTTCAAATAATTCTAACTAAGATAAAAATTTAATCAAAATTTAATCATGATCATGAAGTATAGGATGTGCATTTAGAGTTAGTGTGTTGTGAATCATATGCAGAATAAATTGTCCGCATTTAAATTTTGAATAAAATTTTGTTTTTTTCATTTTGTTTTTCTATTTTTTTTGGGGGTGGTATGTAGTACAATTGTTTTTCTTTTCTTTTTTTTTGAATGAAAAAAAAAATATTCTGAAGTATCATCACTGCATCCATGGGTTTAGGTCCCGAGATAATTGATTGTCGGCCTAATTTGATCCAACCCATAGGAAGGGATCCACCACTGATTCGAACCTGAGTCACACCTATGGAGAAGGATGCCTTCTCCACTAGGCCACCACCTCTAGTGGTTGTTTTTATTTGTCGTTTCCATCAAGCATGGTCACATGCTAGATACACAGAATTGGGGCACAAAAACGTATACAAATAGTGCATTTTTTGGGCTTAGATTCATTGCGCGTGCTGAGTAATATTTCAAATACAAAAATGCAATGAACCCATCTTTATTAATTCATAATTTATCTTAAATATATTTATTTGGTGAAAATTAAATTGATAAAATGTAAGATCCACGAGTAAAATAAATTTGAGCCATTGATTTTTTTTTTGGGAGTAAATTCTAAGTTCATAAGTTTGAGTTTATAGTGTTATTATTTAAAATAAATCCAATGCACAATGTACTTTCTATGCATTTTTTTATTTTTTTTTATTCTGTGCAACTAGCATTTTTGTGATTTTGATGATAATAGTATGTGTTGTAAAAAAAATGTTAGTAGTATAATACAAATTTAATAAAAATTTTATATAGAATAATGTAGCATCATATCAAAAGTTTTGTTTGAATCAACATAAATGATCAAATCATGCTCAACTCAACTCAAGCTCTGTTTAGCTATAACTTTTTTAGTTACTTTTTGACTATTTAAACAAAATAAAAACCAGACCATTTGACAGCAAATTTTTTTGCTGACAATTGTGAAATTTTTTAACAAGATTTTGACAACTTATAATTAACAATCACGTTTTCCTTGAAA